GATGGATGGATGGATGGATGGTGGATGGATGAACAGATGTGTGGATGGATGGATGGATGGATGGATGGATGGATGGATGTGTGGATAGATGATGGATGGACAGATGGCTGGATAGATGGATGGATGGAAAGATGGATGGATAGATGGATGGATGGATGGATGGATGGTGGATGGATGAACAGATGTGTGGATGGATGGATGGATGGATGGATGGATGGATGGATGGACGGACGGACGGATGGAAGTATGTATGGTAGGATGGATGAGTGGGTAGATTAAAGCTTTATGAACAGATAACAAGAGCAGAATACACATCTTAATTTATCCCAAAGGCATATGACAAATGTCCGCCCCAATCTCTATATAGTGCACTTTACAGCGGTTAGGCTTTATTAAAGGTTCGCCTGAACGTCTAGTGGATGAAAAAGTAGTGGACTTGATATTTCCCACAATGCACCTAGAAAGGTAGTGATCATCCATGGTCACTAGATGAGCAGATATATCCCAGATTGCTGTGCAAGAGCAAAGATGGTGCATGCAGGTAGGCAGAGTTACGTGACCAACGGGGAGCAAAAAGCAGTGATTATCTGTCCGATCGGTCAGTTAACTGAGTTAACTATAAAGTCCACTATATAGTCCCCTCTCTATATAGTGACTGAGGGATTTAGGGGTCAGGGCGGATGTTGAGAAGTTCTATCCTTTTTTCTACACCACCCTAACTAAACGTTCTATCACAGATTTAGCTACCTCCATTGAACAACACAAAATATTTTGTCATAACTTGATGGGTCAAAAAGTTAATGTGCAACATGATCCATAACTGGAACAGTTTATGATGTCATCTTTAGTCATTCATTCGGTTCATCCAGGGGTCTGTAATCTGTGGCTGTTTGGATCCCCCACAGCGGTTCCTAAACACTTCAATATCAAAAATTCACAGCTATATTTCACACATTTCTATTTACAGGCCAAAGAAAAACTGTAGATTAACTGATGCAAGTTTTAAAGCAAACAACAACACTAACTCCAGTTTTAAATCGATATTTTCCTCTTTGTCTTCATCACTTCAGGAACATGGTGACACAGAGCTGATGTAGTCGTCTCCAGACATCTGAGCTCACGGATTCTGAAACTTTAATGGCTCTCTGAGACTTAAAGTCATCATCCAAACCCAAAGCATTGCGTAACAAATTACATTATTCAAAGAGCACAAAAACTTTAAAGTAGGAAAGCGGGTCTGCTGTCTCTGATGATGATGTAACTTTCTGATTAGATCACAGAGGTAAACATATTTGTTGTTTTTTTTAAAGTTACAGACGTTAAACTCTGAATCCCAGGCAGATAAAAGCTTTCGCTAACACGATAAAACATTACATAACCCCTGAGAGAGACGAACCAACAGAGAAGCTGCTGCAGCTTCCAGCAGCCTCCCAAACACAAAACACAAACAGGATGGTTTTCATCGCCTCCATTGTTTACTGTCAGCTCGACCCCGAGCGGGACTCCATGCCTGATTCATGGAAAGAAAGGAACAGTGTCTGTTTGGCTGCAGCTTTAACATCTCCCCCTCCCAAAGCAAACTCCGTGCCAAGCTGGGCCTCTTGGCCGGCCTTTTTATCCCTCATGTTTGGCCTCTGCTGGAAAACATCCCAAACAGACAGGATTAGAATTCTGCCGATTGCCTAAATATCCAATCCTTTCAGGGAAACAACCCGAGCCCAGAGGGGAGACAAAGCCGTTCCGAAGCGAAGCAGCGGAATTGTTCCGCACAACCGTCTGAAGGTTTTCCTTCAGTTAGCAGGCAGAGCTGGAGACCTTTATTTTAAATCTGGTGGCTTCTTTTTCAGCTTCTCTAAGGAAACTTATAGAGATGCAAGAATAAAGGATTCCCTGTTTGATACACATTTCTGCTTTTCTTTGAAGTTAAATCTGCTTATGCCAGATTTGAAAGATAATTTTTTTTTATTTTAAGACCATGAAAAAGCAAAGCTAAACTCCAAGGGTCCTGGACAGAAGTGGCTGATTGGAATCCAAAAAGAAAAAAAAGCAACAAAGAAAAAAGCACAATCCCCAGCTCTCATTATGGAAACAAAATAAACCTAGGATTCATTTTCAATAAATGTTTTATTAAAATAAAATTGATTCCATCCAATTAATTGATAAAGTCAGCTGAAAACAATTTATTTCAGTGCTGTAATGTTACTGCCATCCACTAGAGGGTGCCACTATTCATTGTTAAATAGAGGCTCAGTGGTATTTGCTAAAGCAGAAACATACGGTTCTATTTGTAAATAAAAATAATCCATGCACTTCATTTTTCACCAAGGCTACATCTCTGGTCTTTGTGGAATTTTATAGAAACAGCCCTGTGTGCAAATAATTCTGGCAGCTACAAAAGATATTAAACATCCAGATCATTCTTCAATCTTAGAAGCATAAAGTGAAACCAGTTTATATCCCTGTGGAGAGAAAACAAACAGAGCTGACTTTCAGCAGCAACATCTGAATATATCTGAACTCATTCTGATGTGGCAGTGGGCTCAGAGGAGGAGCAGGTATCCTGTTTTATGAAGCGTTCTTGGGATTAAAACATTATGAGCTCCCAAGAGGAGAAATGCAGCAGAAAGCTCCCTGAAGACGGCATCCATGGGTCTGTGCCATCAATCATCTGCAGCCCACACCAGCTCCTAGTCACGCATGCAGCACAGACAGCCCTGTGACTGTTAAGGTAAAACTGAACGACAGCGTTAGTTTCCTTCTCTGTAAATCTAAAGACAAACCTATTCATAAAATAAGCTTTATGCATATTTATTTATATTTAAAGCACATCTAACATCTTATTACATTAGTGAAAGTATTATAATTATTGAAAGTGCTGCAAACCATGAACATTTCCATTTTTTTCTTCTACATCTGCAGCCATGTTTCCATGCAATGCTAATGATGCTAATGGAAAATCTGAACAAACTCTTTCTCAGTGAGAAGCAGCCAGTCAGACCTCTGGGTTTGAGAGCGCCTCTAGACCCGCCTACTGAGTCTGATGCAGGATCTTAACTAGCAATGCGTACTGCCTGATAAAGTACCACCTTTACTAAAAAAAAGACAAATTGTACGCCCTGTTTTTCCCCTAGAAACTTTGCACAAATGTTTAAAATTTCAAAAGCAGCAGCTGCTGGAGTTGGGAAAATTGAAGTTTTGCTGCAAATACAGCTAAGCTGACCTTTATGTGGACAAGCAAAAACAATGAATTAGCAGAAGCTTTTTTGCTGCACAAATACCTATGAAATGAATTTGGTTTCATTATTGTTCAAAGCAAATTTTATATTATATTATTATATTATCAATGCTTTTTAATGCTCTTAGAAATAATTTTAATGCCATCAACAAGTACATATATATATATAAGGGTACTTGTTGATGCATAAAAATTATACCTTATATATATATATATATATATATATATATATATATATATATATATATATATACATATAAACTCGATACCGATGTAAACTCGATACCGATGCTAAGGAAAATATTCGATACTCGATACCATTTTCGA